GGCAGTAAAGTGAATGATGAGTTAATTATATTTTTAATGTAAAAGACTTGAGAAGAAAAAACCATATAGATGAAAAGTTTGGAATAAACCTTTTATTAATGGTACAATTCCCGAAAAAAGATAAGTTTTATTCCCGAGTAATCAGTGTGGCTTTCACGTGAGAGAAGCATTCTTAACGTAATGACAGAATGACACTTCGGAATGAGGACACACCCTCAGTATGAAACATAAGAATTGCATAAACGGAACAGATATGAAAGATCGATAAGAGCTCGAACTAAACTCAGATGAATCAATGTAGATACGAAAACCTAACTCTTTGCTAGTACAATCAAATTCTTACTTGGACCAATATGCCGCTGTTATCTAACCTTTATCGGCCAGAATGTCATACGAGTGATATCAGGGAGCAAGGTTGACAACAATTCGGGTCGATTATAAGCGCAAAATATCCCCGTTATTAATAACCACTAAACAGCCTCAACATAACTTACAAGTGCACGCTCAACGTAATACCACTGAATGCACAAGGATGAGAACAAGTAAGATTAATATTAGATACAATTAGGAAGAACTGGAAGATAATTACATGTACAAAATTACAAGGTATCAACTCTTCATGGACTAACAACTCCAAAACAAAGGCACATGTAAAGTATGAGGGGACGCATACCATCGTATATGCGTTGAACATGAAAGCAAAGCGTCAGAGAAAAACAACGCGTATAGTAGGCATAGACATAGTCAAGTAAAGCGTGATGAAATGTTATGGACGGGTGCAACCGTCATGACAAAGATAGCAACCTGCGTCGATGTATCGGAACCTATCAATCACACATTCAGATAATAAGAATGGCTTAATCACAGTTGAATATGTCCTAGACAAGAGAGAAATTGTAGACTAGAATTAGAAGTTGAACTTAAAACTAAAAGGTCCGCCGCCATCTCGGAACATGAATCCTCCAGGGAATCTAAAACAATTATAACAGATGGAAGGTTGATGAACGCTTTATGTGGTTAAATCATAAAGTTATCAACGAGAGCTAGTAAGAAGCCAAATGTTGATGATACAAAAAGAAATAAAGAACGTACCCATGATGAAAATGAGGCTGGCCCTGCTGCGCCTCCGGATCGAGTGGATCAATTCCTTGGTCGAATTGAGCACGTTTCTCTGCAAATTTACTTCCTACAAACTTTAAAAG